CCAATTAACTGACTTAACTAGTTAACTGGTCTGATGTTGGGAAAGGAGGTGGGGATATGCACTGTCTTGTAGCAAGGAAGCCTTAACATTAACCTTAAGCAAAGGGAGCACTAACTTTTAGCAGAGAGGGACAGGCCACTAAGGAAAGTACAAGATGTAGGGTTTTCTGGGATCTAGGGATTCATCAGACCAGGTAGCGTTTTCCATCTCAACCAGGGCTCTGACCTGGTACAGCAGACCTTGTGAGGCTGAGTTCCACCTGTTCTGGAACCCTGCTTCTAAATGCTCAGCTTGTATTTGGCTGTAGATGAAACTGTCTTTAACATTGCTGGGGAGTATCTCTGGCTTTCACGGTTAGCTTTTAGTTGGTGACTAATCCCTCAGCCTTTCATTGTCTCTCCTCAGTGCACCCAGAATAGTCATCTAAATCCATTTTTTAAATAATTTCTATTTTCCTTGCCATGGTGGATCCTCCAGTGTCCCCTTCTGCTGTCCAGAATTATCATCAGTGAGCTTAGTAACTGCCCAGCTCCAAAGTGCCAGAGGCTATGACTACCTTCCACCAGCAATTCTTGCTGTGAGTTAACGGGTGTGCCAAACCCTGTTTCAGAATGTTTCCTTGGATCATGATGGTACCAACCATGACAGACTGGGCTCTTTGGGATATAGACTGAGAGGAGTGGGAAGGAAAGAGGGATAAAGGGACACAAGGAGAAGGTGGGGGGAGAAAGTAGGGGGAGAGAGAGAGAGAGAGAGAGAGAGAGAGAGAGAGAGAGAGAGAAGAGAGAGAGAGAGAGAGAGAGAGAGAGAGAGAGAGAGAGAGAGAGAGAGAGAGAGAGAATTTATTTTGTATAGGAAAGCTTCAGGGAAGAAACCAGGTATGAACAGAGGGAGAGAGGCTGAGCTGTGATGCAGTCACAGAAGCTTCCGCCAACCTTCAGGGCCTTTCACAATTGTTCTGAAAGGGAACTTGGGCCGGTCTTTGTGATCCCTCCATGGCCCATTGTAGGATGTGGAAAACCAACAAGACCTTGGTTAAGACAGCCCTTGGGTGCGGAGCAATCTCCAGAGAAGAACTCAGCAAGAAGCTGTTAAATACCATTATTCTTAGAAAGTAGGGACAAATGCTTCAGAGTTGGGGTTGGAGGCCCTGGGCAGTGCAGTGCTAAGCACCCAACTCACTATGCCAGCCGTACACTAGAGCCCAGGGAAAAGAAGACACACAGCTTATTCTGTAAAACAAAAAAAGAACTTTAAACATGAAACACAGAACTACGAGTCAGAGAAGTATTTTGTCAGTCTCTGCCTTAATGACCTCAGGTGTCCTTGAAGACAGGCATCAGGCCTTCAGTTGTAACATCTGCAAATGAGGGTTCTCTAGATTGCTGACAGAACCTACCAGTGATCTTTAGGTTTCAAATCTGAAGTGCTTTATGTCCATTCATATTATATAAAGATTCAGGTTTCCGCACACTTTGACTTTTTAACATTCCTTCTGCCTTTGTAATGGATTCTATCCCCCATCCAAAAGTCTTCCTTCCTCTGTTCTCCTTTACTACTCTTCATCCACCTCTGTTTTCAGCATGTATTCTATAGTGTTATATTGTGAGCTCATCCATGAGATGAAAATAGGATAAAGAACACATGCTTGCCACACACACTCACATTCGCCAAATGCTTGCTGGATGAATAAAAATAACATCTCACTGCTTCATTTTTTATTTTTTGAGGGGGGTTGTACTGTTAGAGATTTGAACTCAAGGCCTCCACCACTGAGTCAAAACCCCAGTTACTATATATATATTCACTAAACTTGAAGTTCCATTGGGTGGGTTGAGTTTTAGAGACTACATTTTGTGTTTGGATACACTAAAGTGCCAAGCTGTTTTAACCTCGTCAAAATAAAAAGTAACGGGCAACATAAGCTACATTATCTGCTTTCCTTTGCTTTAGTGATTCTATGAAGCCCACTTTACAATACTTCATCTATAGTCTTCTTCCATCTTGGTGACTTTTTGAAAGATACTGATTAAGTAGCTGAGAATCATCCATGATGCTAATCCTAAATCATTTAGGATGTGAATCCTAAATCAGTCTCTCTGTGTCATGTGTGCACTCTGTGTGTGTGAGTGTGTGTGTGTGTCCGTGTGTGTGGAGGGCAGAGGTTGATTTCAAGTCTCTTCAATAGTTCTTGACCTTGTTTTTTAGACAGGGTCTCTTAATGAACCTAGAACTCACTGATTTGGCTTGATTAGCTGGCCAGCAAGGCCCAGGGATGCTCTCGTCTCCCTGTTCATAGTACCCATGATCATACTGAGATTACAAGTGCACATTGCCACAGACTTTTTACAGGGGTGACGGGGATTTGCATTCCAGTCCTCATGCTTGCTCAGAAAGCACTTCATTGACTAGTTATCTCCTTAGCCCCTGATTCCTAAAGTTGATACGGTGATGGTAATGCACTCTCTTTTTGAGGAATCGGTCCTAACTACAGCCATAATCATCCAAGCCAACCCTAGCAAATGCTTTCACATTTCTTCATAGCTATAGCCTTTGGTGAGAAGCAGGAGGGTGGCACACAGCATCTGGCAAAGAACACACGTAGACTCTTGGAGGTCTCCATTGCATAAGATATTCAGAGCTGTACTGTAGAAAGACAAAACATGACATAACACTATCCCAGTGCTTTCCAAAGGACAGTGGTAATCTTGTTTATTCAAGCTCAGTAAGAAATTCTAAATGTCTACTAAAAAGATTCACTTACATTTATGGAGCCCTTAGTAGGCTTTGCTCTTCCAGGCATTTAAAAAATAGTTTATTTATTATTATTTTATGTGTATGAGTGTATTGTCTGCATGTATGTGAGTGCACCCATGTCATGCAATGCCACAGAGGTCAGGAGAGGGCTTCAGATTCCCCTGGAACTGGAGTTAAGATTTGTAGCTACCATGTGGGTGCTGGGAATTGAACCGGGGTCCTCTGCAAGAGCAGACAGTGCTCTTAACCACTAAGCCATCTCTCCAGCCCCATACTTTGCTTTTTTATCTATAGGAAAGAAAATAATTTAGATCTGTTTGATGCAGGTATAATAGCCACAGAATGAATGGACCTAGATCTTGCTGGTAAGAATGGCCTGGATTGCCTTTTTTTTTTCCCACCCCCCACCCCCAGAGGTACAAAGCTTTTCATTTAGAAGCATCTAATTAGGATACATGTATTAGTGATTTGCTTATAGGAATCTGAGAAACTAGAAACCATTTTTGTCTAACAGTACATGAACTCTTCCCTTCGCAAGTGATTGAACCAAAGAAGAAGTTTAAGTCACAGGCAGAATCAACATGATTTGTAAAACCAATTTTGCCATATAACTGCAAATTGACACAGCTTTTCAAAAACTAATTCATGTCCAAAAAAAAAAAGAAAGGAAAAAAAAGCAACAGAAATACGGAGTTTGAATCCCCTGCCGCCATACAATATTCATACTGTTGCTTCTACAAAATGTAAAGTCTGATTAAAGAAGGATGGTAACCTTAAAACACCCAATTGTGAGCTCAGTTCATTTAAATGACAATCACAAACACAAGCTCCCTCAATAGGTAGTCTCTTTTCAGTTTGTAAAACAGCAAAAAAGACCAGAGAGCATCTAATTTTTGAAATTCTTTTGGCTTTTCTTTTTGACCTTTGGTATTTGTATGTATTGACATCTCTAAACCATTGCACAAAAACACCTTGAAGTGTCAAGCTTTAAAAATGAGTCTTCTTTTCTCTTTCTCCTGTGCAGCTTGGATTATCTTGGCCTTGTCAAAATACATTCTCTAGTTAGAGGGTGGAAATATTTCCCTCCTGGCTCTGAAGTATTGATTTTCTACAACACTCAGCTCTGTCAGTCAGGCAAAGGGGTGAAAGGTGAAAGTTCATCCAGCACTGCTTGGCTTTACCTTCCTATTAATACCATGCCCTTTCCACATTTGATCAGCTTATGTGATCACCAATCACAAAGAACTGTTACTGCTTTTATTTTCCTATAAGGATACATTTAAGTTATCCGAATGTGTTAAAACAATTCCCAGGGCTAACCCTGAGCACTGATGGGGCCAAAGATACTGCAGTCAATTCCTGGGATGTCTAATTCTTGGAGCTTATGCTTCATATGACGATTGACTCAAGTCAAGCTGATCTGCATTCTTAACTGTAAGGCATTGCTGATCTGCATTCTTAACTGTAAGGCATTGCAAGAAAAGTAGGTTTGCTACTTACATGTTATGCTCTGTGAGCAAAGAGGACCATTTTTGTTATTCTTGCTTTTTTGAAAACCAATTATATACTCTTTACCTCAGGGATTCAAATTGAACTCCAAACTGAGTATTAAATGAAATGAATTTAATGATCTCAGTCCAGTTCCCAGGAGACAGCTAACCCATGTCATCAGGTTTGACAAGATACAATTTGGTACAATGAACAGTCTATTTAGATGCAAGTCAGGGTGGAGATAAAGCAACATGCATGTGATTCCTCTGCCTGAGCCATAGAGGGTGTTGTTGAGTTTCTCTAGCTGGTTGAGAGTTTATTTGGTTGTCTCCAGGTTCCACAGTGTGGGTGAAAGCTCTTTCTACTGCTCTACATCTCCTTGAGAACAAAGTTGCCTTTCCTGCCGCTTACTCTCCAGTGACAGGAGTAACCAGAAACAGAAGGGTAAGAGGAACATATGCTTTCAACCGAGAATGTTTAAGAAGAGGGACCATGACCAAAAGCAAAAGAGATAAGAAAAACCATCTTGGGCCCTGAAGATAACTCAGAGATTAAGAGCACTGGCTGCTCTTACAAAGGAACCAAGTTCTGTTCCCAGCACCCACATGGTGGCTAACAACTGTAGCTCCAGTTCCAGGGGGAATCTGATACCCTCTTCTGGCCTCCACAGGTATTGCACACATGGATGCACTTACATATATGTAAACAAAACACTCATAAACACACAGAGAAATAAATAAAAAGAAACTATCTTCAGTACAATTCAGTTTTATTTAACACACATATATACATAGGGATTTTCAACACAAATTAAGTGGAATCATTCATAAATGTCTTGGGAGGCAGACATTTTAATTCATTCACTATACACAGTGAGTTCAATCATTACAATATTTTCATACAGGTGTCACATCATGTCACCTTTTGCTTGTAAATTACCAGTGAAGCCACATATGTCTTTGCACTTACAAGGACAAAGTGTGAGTGTTATGCCAACAAAATCAATAAAACACTATAAGTGTATACTGGGATGACAATGCAAAGTTTACCTCAGTGCTGAGGAATTTAAGCTGGGATGATGTTAGGGACCCTGGATGTCAAAATAGTTAAGGAGAGCATTGTGTCAATGAGAATGTAAACTATACTTTAGCAGTTAGTCTTCTAGCATCAAGTTTTATTCTCACAGAGTTTTACAGTCCTTGCATTTTTCTGACTAAGCACACAGGGCACGGAAGGACTGGCCTGGACCACAATTAGAGATTGTAACATCATAGCTTTGTTCTCGATTTCTACGACAGGTACCATTTGTGCATGTGCGCTGGCCATCCCACCAGTCCCACGCCTCCTTCATAAAGGATGGAATATTCTGATTTAAAAATTTTCCAAGGTGTATATTTAGCTCATCATTCCAAATAGTTTAAGTCCCACTGAGGTTCATTTAGTAAACCTGTGCTGGGCAGAGGGCAGGCTCAGGAGCCTACTGGAAGAACAAAGTGCATTAGTTTACCTCACATTTCTCGATCTACACTGAACATAGCATGTTCATCAAACAAAGTCTACACTGTACAGTTCTTGGCTTCCTTCTTGGAAGCTACATAGGTAATCATTATAAATACCATGTACATGCAAGTGGCATAAATTCATTTTTGAAAGAACATCAACATCTAAATCCAAGGAATAGTACAGAGTTGCCATCAAGAAAAATAACATACATCAGTATGCAGAAGACATTCTGGGGATGTGAGCTTTCAATGTGTTCTTTAAGGAACTGTTAGAGTGAAGGAACAGACAGATATATATTTGTTCCTGGATCTTGATCCTACTTTTCTATATATTCTGTAAACTTTGACAATATATGTGTTTTAAGATTAAACATTTTTATTTTTGCTCCTCTGTAAATATCACATATTTTCTCTTAATTTAATTCCTTTTTTTATTCTTGCATTTAATAAACCTTGCCCAGCTCACCAATTAATCAACACCCAAACCAACCAACCAACCTGCACCCTCCAACTATATACAGAACAAAGTTTGTTAGGAACAACTCATACAAAATACTGCATTATGGATTTTTTTTCCATTAAGATAAGAACAATATAATTTAACATGAGAAGAAGCAAGTGATAAAGTTAAAGCTGTGTTGAAAGCTAGATGAACATTGTCACTGTAACGTCTATCCACACAGACCGAGAGCCCATACATCCCATGTACACTGGAAAATGTGCCCATATAGATTTCTAGGATGTTTACCTAAAAGAGACGCCTTCCTAGTTTTTCTTTAACTCATTGGTATTTGGAAGGCTGGCTCATAATTATCACTGGTTACCGACATATATCATACACTTGAGAATTGCACATTGTAAAGTTCCTGAAGAGGAGGAAGATCTTTCCTGAACAAAAGAATCTATAGCAACACACAGGAGAGCCTTCATTTTACATATATGCAACATACAGGAGAGCCTTCATTATATGTATATGCTATGCATTCAAACTTGGTTCTTTATCGCAAAGTCTCCTTAGAAGATCATTTATAGTGACTGTTTAATTATATTCGCTACATTGTGAGTAGGAATGATTTTTGTTTTAATCTACAAAATATACTAACATTTAAACAGGAAATGATCATTTTAGAAGGCCAGGTATCTGGAAAATTATTTTCTAAAAGGAAAAACGTATGATTTTAATATTTTCTCATTAATCTCATTAATAAGATTGGTGTTACTGAAGAAGTTAGTGGCTAAATCCTTGGAAACAGAATTAAGTAATTTCCTATCAATTACTAAAAGGAAAAAACCAATGTAAACACAGAATGGGTTTGGTAAACAACAGTATGTTTCAGGAAATCCAAAAGGAAGTCATTTCTATAATGAGGAGTCTGCCTTGACTGAGCATCCAGGTTGGCCTGGCCAAATGCAAGCTGCATTTCAGAGCCAGGCTTCAAGGGCTGGCAAAGCGGATCAGGGCTGGGAGTACAATCACAGCGGTTATTGATTTCGGGCTTCTATTGCACCAAGCAACAAGAACGTCCCTAGGAACAGCCAGCTCTCCCCTCCCATCTCTGGCAGGGAAAAACTACCTAATGACAGAATGGCCACATCTTGTTGAGTGGTGTGTGTGTGTGTGTGTGTGTGTGTGTGTGTGTTGATAGTGTGTGTGTCTGAATCGATAGGTGGCCTGTGCTGAGTCTGCCCCCAAGAAGCATGCACAAGTGACACAGACTTGGCCATGCTCCTGGATGGCACTGGGGAGGGCAGGTAGCAAGCAACAGCCCAGTGTGAGTGAAGACAGAGCAATATCGGCTTAGACAAGCTAGAGAACTAACAGGTAGTCAGTGCAGCAGACAGCAGTGTTAGACCATGAAGCGGTGCTCTTTCCCATCATGGGCCATGAGGATGACATTTCGATTGGAAGTCCAGATGAGGCGGGCCAGCCTAAGGGCATTGTGGGAGCCGGGGGATGCTGGCTGCACCGGGGGGACCTGGTAAGTCTTGATGCAGCGCAGCTGAGGTGCCGAGTTCAGCATGCCAATGCTTCCCAAGAGTGATGTGTTCATCTGGAGGGAAAAGGGACACGCACGTCACTTCAAGAACCCTTCCCTTCCCCACCACACACTTCAGCCCACTCTCCCTCCATAATGATTATTCACGCTCATCTCTGAGTTATTCTACCTTTGAAGGGCTCCTCAGAGTGGATTTCAAATTGTTCTGATACTGTTGCTGTAAACGCATAAATCTAGAGAAATTTTACTTTGTGAGTAGGACCTGACAGCAGAGAGTTCATTGATCTTGAGGAAGGGTGCTAAATTATGGCTGCTAATAAAACGGTTCAATTAGACAATATTTGGAAATGGTGGGTATTTAAAACTGCAGACCTTTGTATTCTTTGACAATAATGCTAACTGCATGCCCTGAAGGATGAGCCAGTGAAGACCAATTTTAGGGTTTATAATTAGTTCAGGAGAGTGAAACGCAGCCAAAATGTAGACACTGAAAGCTGACTGGGCCACACCAGAAGCTGGGTCCCTATTCCCACCACCAACACCTTCACTTCCACCTGCCTTTTCAAATGCTCTGGAAAAACACTCTGTTTATTTCTGCATATGTATGTGCCTGTATGTGTGCATGTTCACATATGTGTGGGCATGTGTGTGTAGGTCAGAGGTTCACATCAGGTGTCTTCACTTTCTACCTTACATACTTAGTCAGGGTCACTTGTTGAAGGTGGGGCTCACTGATTCAGTTAGTCTAGTTAGCCAGCTTGCCCTGGGGAGCCCGTCTCTGCCTTCTGAGTGCTGGATTACAGGTGGGCTACTATGCCCACTCAGCATAGACCATGGGTGCTGAGGATCCAAATTCAGTTAAGAGCTTTACCCACTGAGTCATCTCCTCAGCCTTCAGTTACGAACGAGAATGCGAATCAGATTCATCTCATGGCTCTGCTATCCTGCTAAGGAGAGTACACTCCTCACACTTTATTGGTAATGCCTTTTCATCACTTGGCCACTTTGTTTTCTGGCACTTTTAGATTTGATTAAAAATATGATTTTTAAAATCCATTCACAAAAATGAAAAGTAACATGGAAATTATGGCTCATAGACAACGTGTTTAGGTCAAATTGCTGAATATCAAATGGCAGTTGTCTGAGGGAACTGGTTTTGGAGCCAATGAGTCCGAAGGTTTCTTTAGTGCTAAATACTACTTCAATATGCATGATTTGTGCTACCATTAACCAAAAGGAAAGCATGCTGGAAATGGAGAAAGAAGCCTGTGAAATAATCTTTTTCTTTGCATTAATACTTCTTGTTCCTCTTGGGAGTAAGGCCTCTCAATCTCCATGGATCAGAGACTAGTGATGTGGGTGAAGCATGCCTATCAGGACCCAACTACACAAGTGGCTGATGCATGAAACCCCAGCAGATCTTCAGACATTTAAGATGTGTTACTGCTGATACCATGCTCTGCATTTGGATCAGTGAGAAATGCAGGCCATTCCTTTTCCAGCCCTTCTCAGCAGCAGGATGGTGTCAGAAGGCGTAAATCATGGCATCTCTAGCAGGGTGCGTGCAGGCTCCACTGACATTTTCACAATTTAAATCATCTTGAGTAATAACCCTTTTAAGATGACTAATGTTACTGATTTTCCTGCATTAATAATAGTGCCAAACACAACACAAGAGGTGAAAAAAAATCACTAGTGTACGAGGTCACATTTTAAAACCAAATGTATGGTTATTGTTAACTCTTTCTGCAAAGGTTAATTTAAAGTCAAGTAGTACCTACCTCACCTGTCATCCTTCCAAAGTCTCTTTCCTTGTTTCCTTCCCCATTTTTCCTCAAAAGATAAAAACCCATGCCTTGTTGCCTTATGGAGGGTCCCTACTGGCTTAAATGGATATAACAGTTGTGAACTTGATTTGCTAGTTCTCAGGTCGCAAAATGGAACCGTATATAATTTAGTCTTCTTACAGAACAGATCCTAGTGATCCAGAAAATTGTTGGTTAAAATTAACCGGCATCAACAGGCATGCTGTGCTTTAAAAAATCTAATTTCTCAGTTGATAAATAGGTACAAAGTATTTTTCATTCTTTATGGATTTTCTATGAAAATATGTATGAAGCTTGATTTCTGCTGGTGGCTCAAGATGCAAAAGGCATATAATATGCTTGGATACGTCCTTATTTTTATTCATTCCTTGAAATGTAGCCAGGCACAAGAAATGGATTGAGAGCTAAAGGGGGAGAGGAAGAGAATATCTTATAGAAATGCCATAGATGGGAAGGTTTTAGGAAAAAGTTATCATTATGTCTGGGTTCCCATCATAAGTTGAGTCATGCTCTGATCAATGCTTATGTCAAACAGCCTTCCTCCTCAGCACAGGGTGTGCCAAGTTCTCTAAGGTACACATTCTTACAGTCATTTAGAGTTGGGGAGATGAAGACCTGCATGTTCATTACAGTTCATGTTTCTGCAGACCATCCTTTCCCTACAACCTCTTCAAATGAGGAATGATCTGAGGTACCAAGGTGGGGATTAATTTTCCCAGTAAGCTCAGCTAAAGAACTCTGACTGAAACAATGAACCTTTCTGTTCATCAACATTATTTTTTTCTTGATTGATTACTCAGTAAAAACTATGCTAAAATAAAGGTAACTTAAAACCTTGGATGAGTGAAAACTACATAGAATTACAAGATTTGTAATACTGTCTTTTCCTTATTACAGAACACAAAACTATGAAAATTCAAATGATATTATAAAGAGAAAAAAATTCCCCCAAATCTTACTTCGTCATGATAATCACTATTAGCATTTTGGCAAACAACCTTCCAGACCTATATACAAATAAGTCCTGCATACACACGCGCACACACACACACACACACACACACACACAAACATACACATTACATCACACTCAATTGTGCTTGAGGAAAAGCAGAGTAGACCTAAAGAATTTTATATAAACAGGTTCATATTCGAAGGTAGTTTTGTGATCTGCTTTTTCATTCAACAAAATGCTATAGGAATCCTCATGCTAATGACTACAGATGTACGTCATTTTTTAAAAATTTCTGGGTAGTAACCTACTGTATGATGGAATAAATAAAAATAAATAAAACCAGTATCTATGTAATTTATTAACATTTTTAAAAGACAATATTTATTTGTTGGATGGTATTGGTAAAATCTGCATGAAAGAATTATGGATGTTTTTCATTACCAAACTCCCGTCACTTGAATACCAATAGATACACTGAAGTAAAATATTCAAATTGTGGGAATATGATGTGAGGTTGCCAGATGACACTATTTAATAGCTGACTATATAAACTGACTAAAATCCAGTGCTGGCTTTCCCTTTCTTTCAGAAATATGCTTCACAACACCAGTTTGATGATTATTTTCTGAACAGAGAAACACATACCAACATAATTCATCAAAACAGGAAATGTTTTAATGCTTTCCTCAAAGTAAGTAATGCTGCACACAAACCTTTTACTGAGTCTCACTTGAGTAATTATCCAACCAATATTTCTCATTAACCCTCATTTCTCAGCAAAGATTTTAATAGTTGATAGCTTTAGTAAGGCTCTGTATTAATAAGACTTCATTAAGTTTTCAAAATATATTATAGTACTCTTACTGGAATGATAAAAAAGTCTTCTCATACATCATTAGAACTAAACAGGCTGCATCCAAGTCAGTCGGGCAGCAGCAGATTCACCCGCTGCATTCTGGACTCTCTTTAATTCAAACAAAGCCCATTACATTTTTGGAAGCGGTTTCATTATATTTTCTTGATCAAGCAAGAATGATCTGTTTTTGTGCTTTCTGTTTAATTTGAAGATTGGGTGGGACATTACTTAAACATCCAAGGAGTGGGCTGTATCTTCAGTTCTGGTACTGATTTGGAGGGAGGAAAGGCCTAGGAGTTGCTAAATCTCTGAGGCAGGCAGATGATACCAGACATCTTTACAGCAGGGGAGCTTGTGGACTAAGGGGGTGCTCTGCCTGCCCTGTGAGCATAGAGCCACATGCACAGACATGCAGGTTCACATGTACTTAACAAACCCAGACAGGACAGAGGGCTTGCAAAGAGGAACTGGAAGAGGAAAAGAGGTCTCAAAAATACCATCTAATGAATGATCTTGGCCTCTAAAATAGCCACAATTCTACTCATGTACTGGGTAGAGACTTGGATAGGAAGAAAAGAATTTTCAAGGAAAGGATGAACAAGCATCCAAACAGAACCTTAAAAGATGTAGACAATAAGAATTTTTTATTACTTAAAAATTCAAGAAAATACTGAAAACTGTCAAATTTGGTTCATTTCAGAGGTACCCTTTTATGAAATAAGTTACATTTCCTTAGTCAAACAAAAGTACTGAGAACAAGAAAGAGGGAGGGTGAGAGTGAGAGCGAGAACAAGAGCGAGAGAGAGACTGAGTTGGTTTGTTTATTCCAAAAAAGAAAGCATGGGGGAAAGCTAAGTTCCTTGAGAGCAGAGCCCCGTGATGCTGATACGAAGTCAGGGCCAGAAGCCAGCATGCACCTCGACACACTGGCAATGCTGAATGTGCAGAGCTTTGCATAGGCCCCTCCAAGACTCCAGAAGGAGAATTTACATGAAAGTACAGGTGGCATAACTTTACAGAGACTACTGTGCTAGACATGAGTAGCAAAAACACATACACAGGTAAGCTCTTGAGAGGACCAGTGTTGTGAGTTTAGTCTGTGGGCATCTAATGGAGTCATGGGGGCATAGCAGCAGAAAATTCCAGTCCCACGGTTACTCGGAGTGAAAAATGAAGACTGGGTAAGATCTCTGATGGGTGGAATTTAATATGAGCTAATTAAAGTGTTGCAGACATACTCTGGAAAAAAGAGTGAGAAAGTCTGGAAAGTTAAATTAGATAAAAAGTAGAAAAACTCTCCGACAGATTTGGAAGTTGTCACATTTTAATAGCATGTTGTTAATTAAGCCATTTATTGTATCCGTTTTACATTTTATTAGATATTGATTTGGTTTTTAAACCATTAAATTGTGCTGAAGCCTTGCTTAAACTTTTACTTTTACTTTTTCACTTTTAAAGCAAAATGCCAATCTATGAAGTGCATTTGCATCCTAGGAAAATTAAACTGTCAACAAAGTTTTGAATGAATTCTTTGGGAGGGGAGTCTCTAATATTTAATAGTTTTCTAACAGGCTTAAAAGAACAAAGCAATTTAAAAAGAAGAGGAAATGGTGGGTGATCAAGTGCTATTCTAGTTTGGCTTCACTTTTACTCTGATAAACACCATAACCAAAAGCAATTTGGGGAGGAAAGGGCTTATCTTAGCATACTGGTTATAATCCATCATCAAGGAAGCCACACGTTGGGAGCAAGAACTGAAGCAGAGACCACAGAAGAATGCTGCTCACTGGCTTGCTTCCAGACTCACGTTCCTTCTGCTACCTTTCTTGTACAGCCCAGGGTGCCTGCATAGGGATAGTACCTCCCACAGTGGGCTGAGCCTTTCTACATTAATTAGCAATAAGGTTGAAGAGATGGTTCAGGAGTTAAGAGCACTGGCTACTCTTGTAGAGGAGTTCAATTCCCAGCACCCATATGGTGGCTAACAGCCATCCATAACTCCAGTTCCAAGGGATACGATGCTCTCTTTTGACCTCTGCAGGCATTGTATGACATGGGTGCACTTATATACATGCAGGCAATACACTCATACACATAAAATAAAAATAACAAATAAAATATATTTTTTAAAACTATCTCACAGACATGCCCATAGGCCAAACTGATGGAGGAAATTCCTCAATTCAGGTTCCCTCTTCACAGGCGTATCAAGATGACAACAAAACTAGGGCAAATGCTTAGTATTAAACAGTCTACTGTAATACTGGAGTGATGGCTCAGCAGTTAAGGACACTGACTGTTCTTGCAGAAGACCCAGGTTTGAATCCCAGAACCGACATGGCAGCTAACAACTGTCTGTAACTCCAGTCCCAGAGGATCTGACAGCCTCTTCTGACCTCCATGGGCATTCCATGACATGGGGTGCACTTACCTACATGCAGGCAATACACACATACACATAAAATAAAAATAATAAATAAATTTAAAAAAATCAGTGACAAAACTGGTATTTAGTTTAATCAAAATTAAATATATATACATAATATATATTCATATGAAATGCCAGTTAAAAATATTCAAGTTTTTAAAATGTCTTGAGTAGTTAGGAAATTAAGAACAGTATGTAAGCACTAGGCCTGGTGGTACAGGCCTGTAATCCCAACACCTGAGAGGTGGAGGTAGGAGGGCCTTGAGTTTAAGACTAGTCTGGGCTACATAAGGAGTCTATCAAAAAACCAGCAAATGAATATCAAAACCAACCAAACAACCCCCCCCAACAAAAACATCATATAAACAATGACAGCAAAAAAGAGATAATAGAGACATACATAAAATACTAGGAAAATGCTTATTTCCCGTGTCCTATTGGAGTAGATCCCAGGACCTTATTAAAAATGCCTTGTGTGTAAACTCATGGCTTGAGCATGGCTTCCCCTGGGTTCCTTTCCAGACAGTCTTCACACATCCCTTCCCTTGCTCACTGCACACTTGCTGCCTGTGTTCTTCCTTAGCCTCACTCACGGCTCTGCCCCAGAGTCTCTTGCTCAGAAAGTCTTCCCACTATCGTAGTCTCAGGTTCTCTGTATTGACTGATTGTTTATCTGTGGTTCCTTCTGAGTGAAGCTCTGGAAAAGCAGGCACCCTCTCTCTGCCAGATTGCTAATTGTATTCTCAGCATCCTGTGGGCTAGCATGGAGCACACAATTGTCAATCAATAAACATTTGACATTTGTGGAAAGAAGGAAGGAAGGGAATGAAGGAAGACTGGCAGGAAGGCTCAAGAGGAAGACCTTCCCACCGAAGCACATCATGCAATATATATTTAAGATGCTGCAAACATCTACTCTTACCTGCCAGAAAGAAATATGGCTGTCAGTGTTTGAGTAGGTGGCAAGATATCGCCCATCGGGAGCAAAGGACACTGCAGTGATTGGTCCTTTGTGTCCATGGATTGTCTGAAATAAACATCATAGGTTATTAGTGACATGTATTCCACAGAACTCTTACAAGTACCCACATGAACATATTCAGTGTTGAACAGGTAATGCCATAGATACTGGATACTGTAACTCTTATTTATTATTTTTATTTTAGGTGTATGAGTGTATTGCCTGCATATATGTAAGTGTATCTGTGTCATGCAATGCCTGTGGAGGCCAAAAGAAGGGGTCAGAGCCCCCTAGAACTGGAGTTATGGATGGTTGTTAGCCGCCATGTGAGTGCTAGGAATTGAACTCTTCTTCAAGAGCAGTCAGTGCTCTTAACTGCTGAGCTAACTCTCCAGCCCCTACTGTTAACATTTTTGTTTATAAAATAAGTTTATAAAAATAAACAAATGTGGGGCTGGAGAGACAACTCAATGGTTAAAAGCAGTTGCTGTTCTTGCCAAGGACCAGAATTCAGTTCCCAGCATACACATGGATGCTCACAACCACCTGTAACTCCAGTTCCAGAGGATTTGACATCCTCTTCTGGCTTTTGTGGGCTCCCGCACATATCTGGTACACATAAATTCATGCAGACACACACATATACACATAAAAATAATAAATAAATCTTTTAAAAAATTTAAAAGTGGCAACAATCTTTCACTATCTAAGGACATTACTCTTGTTCCAAGGAGTGGGTCAATCTTGTAGTTGAGGAGACAGTGTAAGCCCAAAGAGAAAACACATATTAATGGGTAAATCAGAGTTTTAATTAATTTATGTTCATTAGAAAGAAGAATTTTGTAATTAATTAGAAAGGCAAGAAACCAACCACTGAAATTACCTAAGAATCTTGCTTATCTGAAATGAAAACCAATCAAACCTGTATCGTAATCTCCCTGTTCTGGAACGCATTAAAGACTAATTTCAACTCCTTAATAATCATATATTTTTCATGTTTTATGCTTGATTTTCCACGAGTAACACTGTGTTTAACTTCATACAGCTGCAATTAGTAAACATACACACATGTATGCATTGGATGTTTGGGCACATACAAATCAAACACTATTAAAAACATGTTAACATGGATAGTCTTGAACCTTTGCCAATAGCTGTCATTGATTTAACCATGAATAATAAAAAGGAAGTTGTATTTTAGACCAGGTCTTTGATAAAAAGTCCCTGCTAATAAAACAATCCACTCTTCTGATGATATTAATAATTACAGAAAGCACTGCATACTAATAAAATTAGCATAATATTCTGTTAATTTCCTCATATTCAACTGTTAAAAACTGTATCTCTACCATAAATATCCAGTCTCCTTCCATTATCTTGAAAGAAATGAGGAAATGTTTGAAATTTTTGAAGAGCTGTAAAATGTGTCTCAGTGGGCAGCAGGCTACTTATGTGATTCAGCCCATACATGCTGTAAATTTTGGTAAGAATTTTTACATATTTCATATCTGAAAACTCAAGTGAGAAAGGCGTGGGAGGACAGGGAGTCAGGAGATGAACATGTTTCTTAGTTCCCTTTGCTATCTTCTTTCCTGCCATTTGATTTGATGTTCTAGGCACTCAAAGAAAGAATGCTATTCTGGTAACACAGACCTGAGCTTCAGGCAGCAGAGGGCATGGAGCCGAGTCAGACTGTCTGGGTTTGCATTCGGCTCTCTACTTATTCACTGGGGAACCAGGGGTCACATTATTTAACCTCAGAGTATCAACATCTATAATATAGGAATTATGGTGATGACTGTATGTGTGTCAAAGAGCTTTGTGAAAATTTGCGATAATACACACATGTACATCTGCACCATCATAGGACATAATAAAAACTCAGTAAATTACATAACTCAATTACTTACACTATTTAATGATTGCCCCAGCCCTCAAAAAAGGCCAGAACAGAGAACAGAACCATTTACCCCCAAATCAGTTTCACTTGGCATCCTAGGTTGCTTAGAAACAGACTTCAGACTGTGCCACTCTATTAAATCAACATGCATGGGAGCTGTCCATGGTGCTGGTCGCAAACTGCTAAATTAAGCAATGGCTTCTGAATAGCTAGTGAAGGAAATGAGTGTAAATGAACATTATCTATGCTAGGATGAAAATTATTCTAGGCAGGGGAAAATGTTCTCAACCAATGGGAAAACCAGGCTACTGAGACCTTCTAGATCAGTTTAATGAACCCACTTGGAAAGCATTTTTTTTTTCTTTTTTCTTTTGTGGTCTTTTTTGAGACAGGGTCTCCCTGTGTAGCCCTAGCTGGCCTGTAACTCGCTGAGGAGACCAAGCTAGCCTTGATTTCAGATATCCACCTTCCTCTGCCTCCTGAGTGCTGGTATTAAAGGTGTGTACCACCACGCCTGGCTCGAATTTTCTTTTTTAAAAATCAGTTCTGCAAAAAATTCTGTTTTCTACTGAGCCAATTTGAATTTCTTCTTTGGTTAGTTGATTAGGAAGGCCTTGCTTTATAAGGGAGGTTGTAAATTGAAGGCATGCTTGAATTTATTAATTATTATTATTATTATTATTATTATTTAACAGACCATATGGTATTATTATTATTTCAGTGCTGGAGATTGAATCCAGGCCTTCATACATTCTAGGCAAGTGCTCTACCACTGAACTATATCCCCAGCCCTGGGTCATACATTAAATACATGTATGTTTGGCCTGCAAAAAAATGTTTAAAAAGTTTTATGCCTACATTTCTAATTTATCATATCTCATATAATGTTCAGATTCTACCCTCTTCTGAACTGCTGGAGGTTGGGCCTTGCTCACACATGGCTACTTCATCCTGGACACTTGCTCTTCACCAGTTCAGGACTGACACAAGTGCAGATCTGTGGGTCAGGTGGGTTGGCTTACATATGGAATGTTATCTTTCTATTGCAAATATCTGATTTAAAATAGTTTCTCCCATGGGTCCCTAGTATCCATTTAAACCATAAATTGACTAAAAGGTTTTCTAAGGAGAGCTGGCCTTTCTAGAAACCTCAATGTCCAGCACTGAATGGAGGCAGAGCTAGCTCCTTCTAGATAGTGACCCACTACATTTCCACACAAAAAGCAAGGCCTGCCCCTTTCAGATTAGCATCCTGCCTCAATAAGCAACTAGAATGTTTCCCAGAGAATGTAACAGTGAGTGAATGCTACGTGATCCACTCACAGGATGAGGTAGTACACCTTCCTATGAGGCTGCTGCCCTGTTAGAAGCAGAAAACTGGACACCAGGCCCATACCTGCTTCTTCAGGTGTCCCTGACTATATTTACCCCACATTTTCACCTTCTAAAGGAGGCTTGTGTTCAGAGCATTCACATGAAGAATACCTCAGTGTTGGAAGGAAACATGGCTACTTGGTAGCTACCATCTCTAACATATCCGGTGAAGTTCACCCTGGCTTTCTTTTAAACCAGGAAAAGAACTAGACACATTCATTGCTTTCTTTTTAATCATGTAATAGTCGTTACATAATCGAGCAGTGCTTGCTTTACTGCCAGGAAGCTGAGAACTAAATTTATGCTCGGTCTGTGTCTAGTAATAAATATTGCCTACACATTTGCTCATCTTTTTTCTGTTCCCATCTGTATGGTTGAGGTCCACAGTGAGTTTGAATCTGTAAATTTCTTCAAAGTCCATTTTGGATAAAGTAGGGTTTATCCTGTAGATCAGATGAAAAGACATGAACATGCACACACATACACACAAACACATATGCACATGATAAAATACTGCTGGGTGCCCCATGGAGCTGCCCAATGAGGGAGCACTGGCTGCAGTTGACAGATCTCTTGTGTCATAAAGTATGACTAGGGGCAGGCCAGGACGCTCTGTATTCAAAAGTTTTGCACACCTGGTGAATTGATTAGCATCTTAGCCTGAGAGCTACTTCCATCCTTTCTGTAATAGAAATGCTGCCATTGCCTTTTATGTAGACTGAACTTGAAGATCTGTACAGCCAGCACCTGAACTGACTTCAACCTTAGCTCTGGTACTAGATACTCAGCTGCAGGGGATCTCAGTGAACTTGTAATTGTCTTGTGAGGTAGGAAACCCAGGGTTTCAGATGCTAAACCCCCAAACAACAGGTGTCAAAAAGGTGGTTTGGATACCATATCTTATATTTTTAGTCAAAGGTACTGCTGTCTTGAAAAGATGAGATATAAAGAAATTAATGTAATTCAGGAAGTGGTATGAACAATAAGAAAAATTATCCCAGGCAGGAGACAGTGCTGGATTGCTAAGCACTCCATTTTTGCCTAATGAAAGAAAAGGATCTAAGAGGCAGGGTTAATAATAAGCAGTTCTTTACATTGTGTCTAGTGATAACTACTATACACCCACTTTCCTTATTCAGGTTCTGTCTCACCTGTGTGGCTGAGATCCAATTATAGACCAAGTTTGAATTTGTAAAATTTATTCATTATTTTTGGTCTTTTTGAGTCAGGGTTTCCCTGTAGCCCCACCTGGCCTCAATCTCGCAGAGATCTGCCTCTGTCTCTGTCTCCCAAGTGCTGGGACTAAAGGTGTGTGCACCACAGCAGCTTATTTCTATTTTTTAAGCAGACAATTCCAATGAGGTCTGCAAAGAAATAAATGAGCCTTACTGTACAGAGAGGGGACCTGAGATGGGGATTCTATAGTGTTTTGGCTAGCATCAACAGAAGCCTATTAGGAAGATTCTCTCTTTTTTTTTCTTCATATTTTATTTATTATTTTTATTTTATGTGTATGTGTGTATTGCCTTTGTGTAGGTAAGTGCACCCATGTTGTGCAATGCCCATGGAGGACAGAAGAGGCTGTCGGATCCCCTGGAACTGGAGCTACGGACAGTTGTTAGCTGCCATGTGGGTGCTGGGATTCGAACCCAAGTTTTCTGCAAGAACAGCCAATGTTCTTAACCGCTGAGCCATCTCTCCCCAGAAGATTCCCTTGAAAACAGCTCTTCACATGGCCAGTCTCTTCCCAGAGTTCCGGATACTCAGTTTCAAACAAGTTCAAGACTTGGAT